TTACTATTTTAAAGTCCTCCTTGTTTCATTATGATATGTATTAATCTGGTAGGCATAGTTGTAAATTCTATACTTTTGGCTAATCTAATGACATGATCAATGCATAGGTTATTCATTGGGCTGCTAGCTGCGAGGTCAGCAGTTCAAAACCACCAGCAAGTGCCACAGGGAATGAATGAGGTTTACTACTCTTGTGAATAATTGCAGGCCCAGGGACTCACATGAGTAGTTCTACGTGCCCTATAGGGTCCCTATGAGTCATGAGTGATGGGATGGCAGTGGAATTTGATGCCCCAGGGGATGATTGATAATGTTCTCTAATATAAAACGACAATGATGTCTCTAAGGTAAACCAGAAACATATATAAATCATAGATGCATGAATGGATTTTGTTGTTACACTTAGTTCTAGCCACAATCTAAGAGTGATTAGTTACTATGACATGGCCTTGCTTGATGCTCAAGTTCATAAAAAGATGACTAAAGATTTTGGTGCTGTAGCCAAGTGTGGTGAAGACATTAGATATTTTCAGAAAGAAGAGTGTCTGAAGTCCTAATGGCTTGTTTTCAAACCAGCAGTCATCTAAGTAAGATGTCAACTAAGTCCACATGGAAGAAGCACACCAGCCTGTGTGATCCAAGGATTATAAATAATATAATCCAAATCTAATGGAGAGAATAGCATCAGAGCTTGTATTGTGAACACCTGGTTTGCAGAAGGTTATGGGTAACAGTGGAACCTCAAAATTCATTTGAAGGGTCTACACATAGACTATGACTCTGGTGAATCCCCCCCAATCATAGCTGATGGATGTGAATAGCCCTGTTAATCAGAGAGCACTGTAATGTTGATTATGGGGTATGTAGTTAGGTCAAGATATTATGTCTTATCATGTATTTTTGTGGACCAGTTAATTAAATTGATCTCTTATTTTTAACTCAAATTTTAGAATAATGTCCTTTGCTATTATACAGAAGCCACATGGGTAGTGTGGACACATGGAATGTTTTCAATCTACTAGTACTTATTTAATTTTTTAAAAGATAACATATCAAGTTATTTACAATTGTTACATCTTACTTAAATGAATTATTTAGGAGTTGTTTGCCATCTAGTCATTCCTGACTCAGACCAACACTACCTACAGCAGAATGAAACACTGGTCCTTTACCATCCTGACCATCTTTCCTAGGTTTGAGCTCTGCGTTGTAGCCATTATGTCTGTTACTAAACTCATTGATGTTCTTTCTTTTTTCCCTGACCCCCTTACTTTGCCTAACATGATGTCTTACTATAGCTACTGGTTCCACCAGAAAACATATCCATCTAGAGAATATTTTAAATCTGGAAAATTTGTGTTACAAGCATTAAATATATAAATTTTGGGAAACATAATGAAAGCACCTTTTGATGAGAGTTAAATTTGAATTTTGTGAGAACAATTTGAATTTCAAAATTAATATGCAGATAATGTTGACCAGAGTATTGAGAGTTGATATTTTTAAACAGTAAATACCATTTAAATTTTTATTTTTACCTTGTTTTATCTGGATTAATCTGCAATTAATGCATTTTGCAGTATTTAGAAATTAGTATTGTGAGCCTATGAGATTAAGGGCAGCTCTCAGGAGCTCTGCAGTTAGATAAGGAACATCTGGAAAAAATGAAATTAGCATCCTACCATCAACTTTAGTTAGCTGTCTATATTTGCATAATATATTACCCTCACATGTAGCAGCTTTTGTTATAAAGCCAACATTTTTTTTCCTTTTTAACATTTTATTAGGGGCTCATACAACTGTTATCCCAATCCATACACACATCAGTTGTGTAAAGCGCATTGGTACATTGTTTCTCAAAACATTTTCTTTCCACTTAAACCCCCGACATTAGGTCCTCATTTTTCCCCTCCCTCATGAGCCCTTGATAGTTTATAAATGGGTATTTTGTCATATCTTGCCCTGTCCGACGTCTCCCTTCACCCATTTTTCGGTTGTCTGTCCCCCAGGGAGGAGGTCACACACAGTTCCATGTAATCGGTTCCCTCTTTCCTACCCATTCTCCCTTTATCCTCACTGTTTTGCCACTCACACCACTGGTCCTATAGGGCTCATCCGTCATGGATTCCCTGTATTTTCAGTTCCTATCTGTACCAGTGTACCTCCTCTGGTCTAGCCAGACTTGCAATATCGAATTCGAGTCATGGTAGTGGGAGCGGGGAGGAAACATTTAGGAACTAGAGGAAAGTTGTATTTCTCATCATTGTTACATCACACCCTGACTGGATAATGCCAACATTTGACCTAGATAAATTACTGCTCCTGCAGCCATTAATGCCTTGTAGCTGCTTTTTACATAGTTTCTCACATGATCAATCCTATCTTTTCACATCATCTTTCAATAGTTACATTCTCTAATTAACCCTGTATTCGTCCAGGTTTGACTAGGGAAACAAATTCATAGACACTCATATGTGCGTAATAGAGAACTTCATATCAAAGAGTAATTGTATATTAAGAAAGCATCCCAGCCAAGTCCAGATCAAGTCCATAAGTCCGATATTAGCCCATATGTCTGATACCAGTGTATAATTTCCTTTTTAGACTTGTGCAACACATGTGACTACACCGAATGCAGGAAGATCACAGGTGAGTGGGTAGAAACTCTTGTGGATGCTGTGGTGGTGGAAGCATCTTAGCGCTGGCGTGGGTCTCCATGTGGCTCCTCCAGCTCCAGGGCTCTGGTTCCATCAGGGGTATCCATGTGGCTTGTCAGCAGGAAGACAAGCAGTGTGAGTAGTGTTTATCCAGCCTCCAGTGAGCTATTTATCTCTGTAGCACCTCCAAATGAGGTCATCAAGCTGTGACCTGATTGACAGGCCAGACTCCACCCCTTCACAAGTTAACAGGAGATTATATAACTGCCACAAGCCCCCAAAACCATGGCCCATGGAGTTTTGTGTGCTAGAAATACCATTGCTAATATATAACACAGTCTCTTATGGCTATAGTTGCTCCTTGTTTCCTCTGATAATGTTCTATAGGATTCACATGATTATTTTTCCTCCTTCCCACACTAATGCCTTAAAAACTATTAAACTTACCCATAAAAAATATCTTTTAAATCAAGCTAATACCACCTGCCCTCTAAGCTCTCTCCATCAATTCTAACCTTACCCCCTGATGCAAGCCCTTTTTTTTTGACTATGTGTTTTTCAGGGATATGTGAGTACTACATTATTATTTTTTCCCTTTTGCTGTGAGTTCACTTTTTTTAGTTGAATCTGAAAAATATTCTATGATATTTCCAGATTTCTTTAGTTAAAACTCATGGCAATATAGGTTATATGCCAGTTTTTGTGTATCAAGTATGTGGGTAACATTTGCTTTGTGTCTTAGGCTCAAGTTCTCACATCAGTTTACAATCAAGTTTCTGGTTGGCTATTATTTCACTAGAAGTTGGGACTGAAAGATAATCTACTTCTTTATTCAAATTGTTCTTAGCAGGATTTCTTCTTTACTATTTGTCCAACTCATTTCCACTCCAAATGTTGACAAGGCCTCTTGCAGTTTTTTGTTATATAGGATAGGCTATAGACCAATTAGTTCAGAATATGACAATCAACTTCCCTCAAAGCAAGTTTTCCCAAAAGATTACAGACAAGAACATATTGTAGAAGTTTTTTTTTTCCCCCCTGTAAAACACGAGCTCATAATTTTTGGAAATCAACTCAATAGCAGCTTATGCTTCCATACATTCTGTAACAGCAGAAAATCTTTTCTTGGCTGTTCTTGTTACTTCTAAGTAAAATGTTTACTCCTTGTTCATTAATCACTGCACCACCCTTAATTCAATTTGAGCTAGTGTGGTGGCTTGTGGGCTACTGCAACTCTGGGAACTATGCCACTGGTATTTCAAAATATCAGCAGGGCTATTCATAGTGAACAAATATTAGAAGAGCTTTCAGACTAAGGTAGACTAGGGAAAGGAATAGGCAGACTACTTCTACAGCCGTGGAATATCATGTTATATAGTGGGAAAGACGAGTTCCTTAGATTAGAAGACATTTCAAATACCATTAGAGAAGAAATGACTCCTGAAAGTAGAATTTTTCTTAATGACATGGCTGAAGTAAAGTGTTGAGGCTCAAACTGGGAAGAAACAAATGTCCATATCTTAGTCTGGATTATCTGGAGAAGCAAAACCAGAGATGATTGATGATAGATAGATAGATAGATAGATAGATAGATAGATAGATAGATAGATAGATAGAAATTTAGACGTTGAATAAGGAAGACCAAAGAAGAATCCATGCATTTAAATTATGTGCTGGAGAAGAATATTGATAGTACCATAGACTGCTAAAAGGTCAGAACAATCTGTGTTGGAAGAAGTCCAGCCTGAGTGCTCTTTAGAGCAAGAGTAGCCAGCTTTCATCTACATACTTTGGACATGTTGTCAGGGGAGACTAGTCCCTGTAGAACAGCATTATGTTTGGTAAAGTAGCAGGGCAGTGAAAAAGAGGAAGGCCCTCAGGATTGATTCATACAGTGCCTGCAACAATGGGCTGAAGCATAGACTGGGCACTGTTTATTCTGCTGTGCCTTCAAGTCACTATGGGTCAGAACTGACTACTTGGAACATAGCAGTAACAACAATGACCATCACAAGTGTTTCTTAGGTTCTTCTCTCTTTCTTATTTGAGACAGGAAGACTAATGAATCTATTGTGTTATGACCCTTTTCCCAACTGGAATAAGGCGCTGGAAAATACTTTTTACATACCTATATGGTTTCTGTTCTGGAGAATTATCTGGTTATCTTAAAAGTATTTACTGTCTCCATTCTGGGGCAGAAATAGTTAATATTTTGTTCTTGTTGTTGTCTTTGGCTTGGGGTCTTCATTTTTTAATTTAGTGTACTCCGGCATGTAAATGCCCCGAAGTGTTAGAGTGACCTATCTATGACTGTGGTACTCAAGAATTTCTTTCTTTTTTTTTAGCCTTGCAAGCACAAGGCCTCAAAATATTAGTTTATGACTTAGAATTGTTCCTCTCCACGGAAATCTTTAGTAAAAGGTGAAAGATTTATATTATCTGAAGAGAAACCAGAGTATTAAGAATTTCTTCTTTCATACGAATCCATATTCAGCATCCAGTCTGTCCAGTCCCCAGAGTTATCATTTAACTATTCTTACTATTGGATGGCTTCTATGACTTCTGCTCTTAACAGCATACTTTTACTGTGATTATATTTATTTGTCTCTCTCTCTCCTGGTTTGGGAATGATGGTTGAATCTGAAAATTTCAATTATCTGATGAGTTAAAATAATAAAACCATTTATATGAAAATAATGATAATTTAAAATTTATCAATGGGTCAAGAGGGTGGGAGGGTCAGACAAAAGAGGAACTGGTACCAAGGACTCAAGCAGAAAGAACATGTTCCTAAATGATGATAGGAACATCTGTACAGATGCGTCTGATAAAATTGATGTATGGTTGTTATAAGAGCTGTAAGAGCCTCAAATAAAATAATTTATAAAAAATCAACAACATGGATTTCCTTTCTTTTTTCCCCTTGAAAATACAAGGATGGCAAATTTCATGTTCCCCACACTAAAGATAACCCCCAAAATTCTAGATAATAATTTTTATTTTTAATATGTAAATCATTCAATTTTAATTTTTAAAATTCTAAAATGTCTTTGCACCAGCTAAATACAAAATTTTCATAAGACACAATGGTATGGGTATACCATTTGAACTCGTTTAATTCCTCATGTATGAAGAAGAATAATTACCATCAGCATTCACCCATGGTAGTGTCTCTGTGGTGGATGTCAGATACGCCTCCACTATCTAACTTTTTTAATATAAATTCTGATATTAACTCTCTTACGGCACTCGCTACTTCTCTACTGGGTTCAATAAGTTCGTAAAATTCTCACACAGTTCTCATAAGCAATACTCATGATTACGGAGTGTATTAGGGAGTTAAGTGGTTAAAATTTAGGGATATATATATATA